AATGCGCGATGCGCGGACGGAAACATCGGCGCGAGGAGCGGGATGTGCGAAGCGCGTCCGACACGTGTGCACATCTTAGAAGTGGCCTCACGTGTGTAGGCGCCAACTCGCCATCGCTGGGACGTCCATTCCCCGATGTTTTTCTGTTTCGTGCGTTTTTGTTGTTTCTCGGTGATTGAGGATGCTCCTCGATGGTCCTCGCCGAGAAACAACACACACACACACACGCCCGAGCGATGCCAAGCCAAGGGGGAACCCAACGTGGGGCTGGAGGGTTACCCACAGGAGAACGCACGGGCGCGGAGTGGGGCAACCGACGGGGGCAGCGCCTGGGCAGTGTTATCGCTGGCGTGGGCCCGCAGGGGGGGGATCCAACATGCGGTCGGCGTCTGGCGCGTGCGCATTTGGGACGTGCTCTCACGTGTGCGTGTGTGTGTGTGTGTGTGTGTGTGTGTGTGTGCGCGTGCGCGTGTGTGTGTGCGTGTGCGTGTGCGTGTGCGTGTGTGTGTGTGTGTCTGTGTGTGTGTGTGTGTGTGTGTGTGTGTGTGTCTGCGTGCGTGCGTGCGTGCGTGCGTGCGTGCGTGCGTGTGTGTGTTGTGCGTGTGTGCGCCAGGAGGGATACCCAACATGTGGTCGTGGTCGGCGGATCTCTCACACGTGTAAATCCTCGGCCGTGTCCTGAGGCACGAGCTGCAGTGTCCTTAGGCTTCTAGGAATTAAATGTCCTCAATCCTGAGCGAATGAGCGTTTAAGGGCCTGGGGCCGAAATCATCGAATTCCCCGGGGCTTCCCGCGTGCCTGCGGAGTGTTCTCGCATAGTACTTGCTCGAAGCGAAGCGGGGCTCAAGACGCGCCAGGGAGGCTCCTAAGAGGCTCCCAGAATTGTCCAAGACGGCCCAGAGTCACCGAAAGATCGCTTCAAGAACTGTTGCATCTGGACGGCCAAAGTTTTTTTTTCTTCCAACAAGGCCGAACAGACTTCCCGATGATGAGGTTCGGAAGCTCAACTCTCGGGCGTGCCGCCCTGCAGTGAGCTGCGCGCGCTTTCGCGCTGGCGCGCGGAGCACGCGCGGCCCCGACCGAGAGGCGGTATCCCTAGGAGGACCTCTCGCGCACACTGTCCTGAATGATATACTGTACCTAAACTAGCCGGCCGCTCTGCGGTTGATCGGGAGTTTCTGTATATAGAAGAAGGTGCGTGCGCTTGTTGGCGAGGGTGAGGATGAGGTTCCTCCTCCTCCTCCTCCTCCTCCTCCTCCTCCTCCATCCTTCTCTTGCCTCCGTCTGTCCTCCTCCACCCCGCAGCTCCATCATCTTCTCCTCCTCCTCCTCCTCCTCCTCCTCCTCCTCCTCCTCCTCCTCCTCCTCCTGTACCTAAACTAAATATTAAAAAAACACGCGCTGCCACGCCGGCGGGCGGAGCACGTGCCGTCACGGAGGGGAGCGCCGAACAGCCGAACGCGGGTTCGTGCAAGGGACGGGCACCAGCCTGACCCCGCGGCCATAGCTCAAAGCTCAAGCTACTCCACTCGCCCATCCGTTGCTTGGAGGAGGAAAAGCCTCCCTGATCGTGGGGTGGAGCCAAACAACTTCGTCCTTGCCTCCACACCCGTGATAGACGGGTCTCGCCTACCTCAGAATTCTATAAAGTTCTGCCGAGGCATAGGGGCATTGCACGTGAAATGTTGGAGGGCGCTCTTTGGCGACTCTTAGCCCCAAACCGCCACCGCGCTCAAGGAGCAGAGCGCAGCGGCGCCGAGTGTGGCCGACGCGGCCGCGCTAGCCACGTCATCATCGGGCGCTGGGGCCGGGGTGGGAGAGTCAACGTCGACACCCATCTCGTCCGCTGCGCCAGACAGAACGGGATCGTACAGGCAGGAGGTCTCGAAGCGCGGGAAGCGAAAGGTGACGGTGGTCTGGCTGCCCTGGGTACTGATGGACGGGAACTCGGCCGGCAGCTGCTCCCACGCGCAGTCTTTCTGCACCTGCGTCGACAGCTCGAGCGTCGCGTTGCTGCCCAGAGACACGGACTTCCCGCTGCCCTGGTTGGCGCTCCCACCCCCCAAATTCTGCACCGTAATGTCGAGCTCGACGAACACGCCGACCTGCTCGGTCTGGCCCTGCTTGCAGTTGGAGCCGTCGCACCAGGTCCAGTCCCAGAGGCGGATATTCCACTTCAAGTCTCCGATGTTGACGTCCCACGACTCGTTTGACATCCCCACCGTTCCCGACTGGGCCATGACGTAGGTGTCGACGCCGATTCGTCCGATCTCCGAGATGGTTGAATCGAACGACACCTTGGCGGCAGATACTCCAGAGCCGATGCGGACGGTCTCCATATCGCCCACCGTGAAGTCCTGGCTTGCAAAGGTGTTGATCGAATGCTTCACAGCCCCAGACGTACCCACTTCGTTGCCATCTGCGTCCACCTCCCTCAGCGCGTCCATCGTCACGCGGATGCCCACAGAGGCCCCCGACGAGCCCTTCGGCACGAGAGTGAACTTGCCGCTCTGGCCCTGAACTTGGAGCTCCAAGGGGATGTCCGGCGCTGGCTCTTCCGTCGTCTCTTCGAGGAAGGCTTCTGTCGTCGTCGCGTCGCACGTTGCACGATGGGTAGGCGGTAGCCTCCGCGAGGCCGAGGAGCAGGCAGGGCAAAAGGATCCTGGGGGTCATGGGGCTTGGGCTCGCGATGTTGGCCGGGTGGCCGCGCGCCCGCCGAAGGCAGCTCGAACTTTGGGCTGCAGCCCCTCTGAGGATCTCGAGTCAAACTTGAGCCAACCTGGACGGCCAAAGTATGCCCCCAAAACGCACCAGGAGGCCCCCCAACGGCCCCCCAGGACGCCTAGAGAACGTCCGCACGCCCGCAGGGACGCGGGTCTCTGGAAAACTCCGGAAGCCTAAACCAAAATCAAAACCCATAGGATGAACCCTGCGCGACCCATATTAGGGGAACACTTTCAAAGCGGCAGTGTTTAACGTTGCGTTGCATTGCTTGGCAATTCAACTTTGCTCGGCATTGCTTTGCATTGCTTGGCGTTGCTTGGCATTGCTCGGCGTTGCTTGTCGTTGCTTGGCGCTGCTTCACGATGCTAGGCGTTGCTTGGCACTGATTTACTTTGCATGCCATTGCTTGGCTGTGGTTGTCACTGCTTGGCGTAACCGGCATTGCGTGGCACGTCTTGGTGTTGCTTGCCATTGCTGAGCGTCACTTGGCAGTGCTTAGCGGTGCTTGGCGCTGGTTGACGCTGATTGGCGGTGCTTGGCATTGCTTGTCGTTGCTTGGCGTGGCTGAGAAACGCTTGGCGTTGCTCGACATGGAATAATTCGCAGTGCTGTGCTTGCCGTCGCTTGGCGTCACTTGGACTTGCTCTGCATGACTGAGCATTGCGGTCCTTGGCGTGGCATTGCTGCGCATTGCTTGGCAACTTGGCGCCAGGACGACCGGGCATGCCAGGCAAAGGACCGGACAGGCGCCGACGTGCGCCCCGGGGGGCGGCCCTCCAAGAGCCCGGCGGGGGCGCCACAGCACCGAATCTCAGACGTCGTGGGACATGGTTTCTTTACGATCTCGAGCGTCTACACCCTGCGAAATGCTTAAGAAATCATGGGTTAAGAAATTCATAGTCTCATAAATTGAATAAAACCCAGAACTTCTATCAAAATCTTCGGATTTACATTGAAGAATTAAGAATCCTCGAGACTCTGGACGAAAACTTAGGTTTTCTTAAGCATCTCCCAAGGTGTACTGATACAATCCTTCCATTCCAAGCAAAGGGGGAACCGGGAAAACGGCAACCAAGGCAACACAGGGGAAAACTTGGCAACTGGACGGCCCCGAAGAAGGCCGGTAGCCGCAGGCCTCGCACCCACGGGTGCTTCGACATCAAACGACAACCTCCTAGGCAGGCAAGCTCAGTTTGGAAATGTTGGAGGCCACCACGAAGTCTGAGCTTAGTAAGCCTTAGAGAAAATCGGTCAGGTTGGAGGGATGGGGACAAACTCGCCCAAAATCGGCTTCCACCCCCCTGCAGGGTCGAGCCTGGCAAACTGTTCGAGCCGCGTCCAGCCGTGGCTACGAGCGAGGGGGTTCCTTGTTCCCCCCTTTTGCGGGCTGGAACCAAAGCTGGGCCACCCCATCCCCCCAGCCGGCTCCGAGAAGAATGTCCACAGAAGTACCCGCGGAGCCTCAGCTCCGACGACGCGAAGAAATCCAACATAGTGAACCATCGCGGCCACAACCGCAGACCTCACCTTTTCTGCGGCATCTTTCGAGCTGGATCGATATGTGAGGGTCCCATGACCCGAGATTGTGCTGACACGCCTAGCTCAAAAAAAAAGCGACGCCCGATCTCAGGGGACATCCTCGTCGTCGACACCCCTCCATATGGCCAAGGGGGCGACCTGGGCGTAACTCGTGCGCGTGATCGAGTAGGCGCGCGTGAACTGCCCGCGGACCTTCGCCTGGCCGACGCCGCCCTCGAACCTCGGGGGGAGAGTGAGAGAGCGGGGGACTGTGAGATCCCTCGGGGGAAGGAGGAGGAGGAGGAGGAGGAGGAGGGGGAGGAGGAGGAGGAGGAGGAGGAGGAGGAGGAGGAAGAGGAGGAGGAGGAGGAGGAGGAGGGGGGGGAGGAGGAGGAGAAGGAGGAGGAGGAGGAGGACGAGGAGGAGATTGAGATTGAGATCCCCACTGCGAAGCAAGTCTCTGGGTATCGCTTAGAGCTGATCCCTTGGCCGCTGCTTCTGTGGGACAGCCTTACCTTGGGTCTTGGGGGGAGCCCCTCAGCCAAGCGACGGAGGTATGTACGGCCTGCACGAGTGGGATCGACCGAACAGGGTCTGCCCAAAGAACACACCTGTTGATCGGCAGTGGCCCCACACGAGGCGCAGAACAACACCTTCACTTGAGAATGATACTTCAGGATATGGGATGGATGCAGCCAGCCCCCCGCCACATGGATACGCATCCTTTGGGCTGGGGCGTCATGGGCCCCGCAAGCAATGGCGAGCTCTTGGCAGGGGGCGGATTTCCACGCCTCAGCTGTGGCAAATGAAGCAAAACTAAAACAGCGTGAACACTTACGTTGACACTCCAGGAGCCGATGAGCCGAGCAGAAGGAGGAGAGTACAGCAGCAGAGGGGCGGGGAGGGGTTGGGGGAGGAGGGGGTACCCCCTCTTTCCTTGTCTCCCTATCACTCTGGGCAAGCTCTTGCTCAACGCGAAAGCAGTCGAGCGTAGCGCGGAGGAGCCGCATCCGCACCTGCATGGGACGTTTTTCCTGCAACATACTATCATGGCGGATGGGGGCAAGGACGCGGGCAACATGGGCGGCGGCGCCGGCCAAACTGCCAGAAAACAGTGTTGGCGAGAACGTGCGTACTGACACCGCGATGTGCCACGATATCCTCTTCGGACTGATGGCTATGAGTGAAAACGACAGAAATTCAAAACGCGGGTCGGGCACACAATTGGTCACAGATGGGAGCCCACAAATCGGCGTCAGGGCCGCGTGCAGTCGTACATTCTGGTGTACCATCCCGCTGCGAGGGGTTCGTAAACTGTAATGCGCAATGAACTGCCATTATATCATTCTGAAGCCAAAATTAAAACACGAATTTCCCCTCGGGCGACTACTTGTCGAGTGCCACTTAGGGTGCTCATCATGGAGGCTTGGATGGACAGGGGGGAAGTCGAGCTGACGCAAGCAATTGCGAGGCCTACGCGTCGGAGCCTGGGCCATTTGGACTCAGGTCCGCCCGACGCACCCCCAGACGCCAGCAAGGGCTCACTTTTGGGACCCATGACCAAGACGCTCACCTACAACCTCAGGCACCCCTTCGGACCACCACACGTCGTGATCAACGGGCTCAAGGGCCCAGGGCCAGGGCGCCGGTAGGAGCCCGCGGGGCCAAAAACCTTCATCACAGTTAGCCTGGGCGAGAGCGGCAGGAACATATTGGGCGCTGTCCTCAGAGGCTGGTGAACCCACATTCTCTTCGCACTGTCAATAACGATGCATTAATGTTTGAGGAAAACGCTGGCACCTGTCACAAATATCGGCGAACTGAAAAATCCCGCATGAACTGCATATTTCTCGCTTTGGGCCAGAGCCCTCCTGCAGCGATCGTGGCCGCGGTCTCTGGCAGCTTGCGCCCTTGTGGTGAGGCATCGAACTGGGCCGCCAGCTTCTGGAAAGAATCCGCGTCGACTCCGTGCCCCAGTCCGCCGCCAGCATAGCCGTGGCTCGCAGTCACCCATCGATTCTGAGATATTGATCGCAGCAGGTCTCGGAGCAAATGATCATGTCGATCTTGGCGCACGTCGCCTGTGTGGAACTCGTCGGGGAACCGCCATTGCTCTGTCGGGCCCTTGTCCGCGTCGGTAGTGTAACTCCACTGGCGCGGCTGTTGGGGGCCCCAACCCGCTCTCATCAATGTGAGGATCACTGCCGAGATTGGGCCCCTCACGTTGCGAGATAGGTCTGCAGGGCTGAGGTTAAGCATCTGCGTGTAGATTTGATTCCAGACTTTTCTAATGCCCATTCTGAGATTGGGATGATCTCGCCACGACTTCAGCCACTGGCCCACGAGTTGGGCTGGCAGCTTCAGGGCTGGGTCCTGGCCTGGAGCTTCGAGCTCAAGCACCGTCGTTAGACGGCGCCCTTTGCCAGTCCCCCCGCTTGCCTGCGCCGACCGTCGTCGCGCCAATTACATCTGCTGTCCAAGGACACCGTGCACTTGGTGACCATGCAGGCCCGCGGGGAAGCCTCCCTGCGTCTGCAGTTTGGCCGTCGCCTTGATGCGCCTTGACGCCTTGGCGAATCTGCGGATATTGTCCGACATGACCTGGCACTTATATTCTCTCATGCGTCGTGTAATGCGAGCGTGCCGCCCGTGTCCGAAATCGACCCCGAGGTGCGCCGCCTGCTTGTTTCCCTTGGTCTAGAAACCCCGCATGGCTGGATCCTGGCATCCTCGAGGATAGATCGTCGACCCATATCCGTTGGCTCACTCTGGGACGGGCCAATGCTACTTTCTGCATGACATAGTGCGTGATAGCCTTCGCGAAGCGCGCCCCACTTCGCAGGCCCTGAACCACTGACTGCGATGGTTCAAAGATGTCAGAGGCCGCACCCATTTGTTCCAGTGCACGTGGGGAAACGCATTGAACCAATTCTAGATAAAGGACCATGGGCGGGAAATACATCGAAAAGGCTGCCTCCGCGAGCGGCAGCCAAGGTATAGTATCGTAAAATGAAGCAATATCCATCGTTGTGCAGCTTCTTCGTCGATGGCGCGTAAGAGCGCCTCCTGTACACATGACTTACCTCTGGTGGCCGCGTCCCAATCCGCAGCATGGAGGCGCGTCCATTCTTGAACGTGCGTCTCTCTGATCATCGACCAAGCTCCACCAAGCATCGCAATCATCCCTATGGCTCGATCAGCTCCTGTCTTCTTGGGTACGAGTTTACCCAAGATGACGTGTGTCTGAATGGGCCATGCGAGCGTGTCCTCAATCGCTGTAAGAAGTAACTGCAGATCCTGAAGTGCTGGCGGAGGTAGTCGCTGAAAAACAACTGGTGTGAAACCGCCAACGCCTAGGCCCGGGGGGTCCTTCGCCCTGTCGCAAGCATCGTTATCATATGTGATGCTGGGCAGGGCTGTCGTCGGAAACTGCTCGTGTGCGATTGAAGATGTCTCGAGTCGTCCTGACGTGGGGCCCAGGGGTCAATGGACTTCTTCGCCTTCGCGCCCATGATCTCGACTGGGTGCGCCGCCACGCCGGCGTCAGACATGCTCGATGTCGGGTAAGTTAATCGGCTTAAGAGACGCATGCGTAATTCCATTCGCATGCGGTTCCTGTGCCCAAGATCTAAAATCACGTAAGAGAGGCAACAATAACTTGTCTTTGGACGCGCTCCACCACGCGTCTGGCGCATCTCTCCCAGGGCTCGAGGACCGCCGCCTGCTCGGCAGCGCCCTTGGCTAGTAGCTCTCGCCACCGTTCCCACGGTTGGTCTCGTTGTGGTCGAAGGGCCTCTTGGAAGCGCTCGGGGGCTTCATGGGGCAACTTCGCGCGAGCCTGCTGCTATCCCTGGAGTTGGACGGGGCCGTTGCTGCGTGCTGTATGTCGTCGCGCTCCACTCAGAACCGCATGGGGTCGTGTCCACCACTTGGCGCGTGCGTCGCGTAATCTCTGTTGGCGCCGATGGGCGACCATGTGCATTGGCTGTGCCTTGGACTGCGGACTTCGGCCCATGGGCGCGGCGTGCACCCGAGGAGACCTCCTGGCCATGATGTCTGCCGATCGCGTGTTCGACAATGGTGGCGAACGCTGCATATAAACCTGAATTGAGGCGGAGCGTGTATCTTTGAGCCTAAATGCAACGGAGGACAGCAGTGGGGGGTGGACATGTTCTACACAACTAGCCCCAGACGTAGACCCGATCTCCACACGAGCACGGCGCCACAGGTCGCCGAGAACGACAAAACTTGGCACGGGGGTCGGGGTCTTGGGGCCAGCATGGGCGCCTTTGGGCATGCGGGATGCCTCAATGGCCCCAGGCTCTCGGGCAACCGAATTCTCACCTGTTACTGTCATGTCCTACTCTGGGGGGCTGGCACGAATTGGAGTGAGGGCTCTCTTGGCACTGACGCTGTGACACAATACTCTGACTGTCCATCGCATTGTGCGCGGCCTCGGTGAGTTTGCTGTCGCCGCCGCTGGGCCTGGGCGCGGTGGCCCGGCGGTCGCTCGGGGGGGGATGGGCGGCGGGGGGGGCAAGGGGCGTGGAGCAGACGGAAGCTGATTCATCAGCCTACGGGTTTGGCTCGTCTGGCTACTCAGGCTGGTCCACTTGGGTGTCCTCAACAACGCCTGGCCCCTCAGGCCCCGGGGCGCCTTCTAGTTCGAAACCGCGGTTTGAAAAACGACTGTTGCTTATCAGAACAGCCCCCAAAGAGAGCAGCAAGTTGTTGGAAACGCGTTTCATGGGCCTCGCGTTGGGCCATGTGGCGCTGGGCCTTCATCCCACTACTCTGAGATCCCAAGTAAGGAGAAGCACGCGGGCGCCCAACCTGGGGAGGCCCTGCGAGGCCTATCCATGACGCGCGTGAGAAGTTGGAGCCCCGAACTCCTGAGGGCCACCTGCACGCCCACATGAGGGCGCCGCGGGACATCGCGGACCCGCCGAAAATCTTCGATGAAAAAGGATGGCCGTTGAGGAACACGACATGTAATCAAGGAGAGTGTCTGCTCTGTTTTCCTGCGAGCATGTCCCTCCTCCAGGATTGACGCGGACGTGCCCGCCCACCTCGCGGGCGAACTGCGAGTCCTGGGGGATGTCTGGCGGCGCGTTGAAATCGCCAATCACCACCCAAGGCAGG